AAGCTAAATTTCTTGACGGCCCCACAGACGTCGTAAGGTGATAGAAACTACGTTAGCTTCCGCCGTTCAGGATTTGATTTTTTTTTCTAACACCAGCTGTTATCAAGCTCTTGAGGTACGTCCTAAATCTTTCGGCTCTCTCTAACCGGTTACCACAAAGAGTAAATTTCACCGCAGAATCCTCCCGGTCTTCTAGAAGTATTGTGCATTTTTATGGGACAAACCACATAACCACCACGAGGTTCAAGGTATGTTGGACTACCTGGGTGTTTTCACTCAGCTAGGTAATGTCATTGGCGTATTATCAGCCACATAGCATATAGCCGAATACGTATGTAAATTCAATCTAGACACGAGTACTCAACCAGGACATGTGCCATGATCGTGGTGCCAGCAAGAGTGCGAATGTGTGAGAGTAGTGTTCGAAATGGAGCTCCAGAATTCGCGCAATACCAATCCCCGAATTAGAAAAACTTCGAATCGAATAGCACACGTACTTTATTCAAATCGTATGCATATTCAGTGCATTTAAAGTATACAAGGAATTTTTCGAGGTCAGTGTCACACATCGCAGAATGATAGATCTTACATCACTCAGATGGACTTCTTCGGTGCACGATTTTTTCCGAGGCAGGTAACAGCTGGAAGGAGATCAGGAGTAGCCAGACTGTGACCTGACCGGACAGTATGAAAGTACCACACAGGGGACTCGGTAAAATGGTTAGTATTGGGATTCCTTGTTGCGGATCTCGAGACCAGCCTCGTGAAAGTTCGAGACAGCGAGTGATGTGGCTAAGTGTCACACAGGCAATGAATTACTTTACTCCGGGGTTATTTCACTCAAATTATGAATGCTATTTTGGCACTGCTGTTTCTTTTGTTCCCTCCTTTTTACCTCGTCCGCCACATTGTTAACCAAAATACATAGCAACCAAATCCAACGCATATTAATGCAAGTATAACAGTTATACAGACTTGAATGAACTGAACCGCTCTACACTCAAAAATTGAAATGTAAGCATAAAGTCCAGCTGGAGATCACAGTGAAATAGGTGACTAATCACTAGGTGCCGTCATCTTGTCTATTGTCTAAACACTTCAACCTGGCTCCCTGATTCGGAAATAACAACTGAATATAACATCCGACCGGAGCTATCAAGTCAACCGAGATTCCAAATTATTTCTGAAATTACGTGACATTCGAGAGAGGGAGAAAGAAGGCACAACCGGGGCCAGAGACGTTGACGAGGGAAACCAAACAGAGTAATTTTTCGAACCTTCACCAGACCTACCTCACCACCTGGAACGCTCTCCAAGCTCGCGTCGTTTGTGCGCGAATTGTTGAATCTTTCAAGTGGAGAACCGATGAAACCCTGATGCACCTCGCATTCCTGCACTACTAAAACACCAGAAAGTTAAATATTACAATATGTTTTAGCTGCATACCCGGAATAATTTGTAAAGTTTCTCATTCTTTGTTAAGAACTGACTAGATTATGTAAATCGTTTATGTGAACATGAGCGTGTGATTCTCATTAAAAAGAAACTTTGACCGTAAGTCATAACGCTTGCACTGTGTCTATTCCTGCATTGAATCGCTGAGGTTCTTCCAAACTGAGCTTTGAGCCTTCGTTAATCAGCTGTATCCAATTTTATGTAATACAACCTAGGGTAGTAGTAGTAGTAGTTTAGTCATGGACTAAGATTGCCAGAATATCCAGGGGCATTTCCTACGTTGTCCATCCGAAACGATGACGGTGACGACGACATCGCAATTCGTTCTGGGATGAGCGATCGGCCAAAACCAATCCGGTTCGCGTTCTGTTTCTCCGGTTGCGCTCAGATGTTTCCTGATGCACGCGAGGAGTAGTTTCTTGCTTCCACTACCAGCAAACCCAAGAAGATGCAATGGTGGTTTGGCCGCTTCTGAATCTACATTTACCACTCATTTAAAGTCTTTGTTATTAGTTTGTTGCTCTTGTGATAAAGAGCTTCAAAAGTTGCACT